AGGAAAATTTATATCATAGGTTTGTATGGTTTTTTTATCTTTCCCAGGAAAAATAGTTAGATAGGAATAATCTGTGGGTACCACGGATTCTGGAATCTTCTTACCTGGTGTCCTGAATGGTGGAAACTTCTTTATTGAGAGAGGAAAGTTTGCTTCTCAAAATCCACAGAATTTGGAAGTAGAACACCAGGTTTATCTGCGGAAACGTCATAGAAATAAATTTGAATTTTCTTTTCAGGCCATTTCACCCAATCCAACTTGAGGTGGACCTAAGAATCTTTTCCCAATTGGTACAGGCTCCATGAGGATGGTATGGACATATGCTCTGGTCTACAGACGACACAGGTATATACCCTGTAGCACTTGGCACTTAGTTTGAGTGACTATAGAATTTGTTATTCAAACCAGGACATTTTGAAAGTGGAAGGGTCCTATTAACGTCTATCCAGGCGACAGGTAGAATAAGGAAGTTCCTGGCAACCAGGTAAACACCTGTCACCTGTGCAGAGAGGACACTCGCCAAATATCTGTTGAATGAACGAATGTGAGGTCTTGAACAGAATCCCCAGCAGATGGTTATATTATTAATATATCAGAGCAACTAGTGAGTTAGAGGAAATGCAGAGAAAGACAAGTGAAGACAGCATTTTCAGGAAGAGAGGTCGATCCTTATCAAAGGGGCTGTATTTCCTTATCTTTATCTCATTTCTGCTTTAAAGATGAGAAACACATTTCACTATGCTTGGCCAACCCAGGGCAGGCACACCCATAAATAACTATCACCTACCAAGATAATGACTCCCACCGGCCCCAGGAAGCTCCAAATGAACCCTTTGTCAAGCTTGAGCCAGCAGCTGTTGAGAGAAAGAGACGCATTAGCTGCTTGGGTACGGTTCCCGGAGCAAGATCTGAACTGTGCCAGGAGCCGTTTGGTTCAGAATCAGAATTTCAGGTGGAGTCGGGTGACTGGGTCGTCGTCTGACACAAGCTGTATCCTCTGAGCCTTGATTTTGCAAAGTGTGGAGTGGGGCTCATGGAAGTCCTGGAGAGATTAAACGACACCGTAGCTATACACCAAGTCCTGAAGTCAGGTAATGTCAGTCCTCCGACTTTGTTGTTCTCCTTTGATGTTGTGTTAGCTATTCTGGGTCTTTTGCCTCCTTTCTATAAACTTTAGAATCACCATGTCAATATTCACACCATCGTTTTCTGGGATTTTGATTGGGAATGTGTTGCATCTATAGATCAAGTTGGAAAGAAGTGACATCTTGACACTATGGAATCTTTCTATTCATAAACGTGAGATATCACTGCAATTTGTTTTGACTCTTTGATTTATTTTCTCACCAGAATGTTGTAGTTTCCCTCGCATAGAATTTGTAGGAAAGATTATATGAGATACTGTGCATGAAGTTTTGGGGTAGAGTTCCTGGCAAAGAGTTAAAACTCAATAAATGTCATTTTCATGATGATAATGGTTGTTATTATGAGGAGTATAAAAATAATAATTTAACTACAACCATAAAGACAAGCAACACTAAATAAGCACCTTCTGTGTCCCAAGCATTTTGTTGCCCAAATACTTTGTCTCCTGTTCTGACTTACGTTGGCAACGATAGTATAATTTATTCTGAAAGGGGACCTGGCCGTGTGAATCTGGCAAAAGGAACAAGGAATGGCCAACACTCAGTGGGCAGGAAAAACTCCACACCTGAGTTCTGTTCCAAGGGTTGCAAACCATGACCTATGGGCCAGATGTAGTCCACTGTTTGTTTTTGTAAGTAAAGTTTTGTTGAAACACAGTCATACTCATTCACGTACTGTAAACGCTGCTTTCATGTGACAAGGTCAATGCTGAGTTGTTGCAACAGAGACCGTGTGGCCTGCAAAGCCAAACATGTTGACCATGTGGCCTTTTATAGAAAAAGTCTGGCAACCTCCAATCTCCCCTGCCCTTCCATCTCCAGAATCGTTCTGGTGGGACGCAGGGTTCTAGTGGTGAACTCAGCAGCTCTTTGACTACAAGAGAGACAGCACCATACCTGATGCTTTAGTGCATGCGCAACCTACCTCCTAACCCATGTGCCATGGCCCACACAGCAACTTCTTCAACTAACTGCTGTGTGCAGAGCTGTAGTGTGGCAGTAACACATGGCTGTGAAGAGTACTGTCTCGTGAATTCTGACTTACTCTCCCCTTAGCTCTAATCTTGGGAAAGTTTATGAAATGAATGAAGCTTCCCATGTCCTGTGCATGAGAAAATAAACTGTCAATCTTGTAGGATCACGGTGAGGATGACATGAGCTCCTGGGTCCAGGGAGCGCTAGCTCTGATACATCATAGGCCTTTGATAGTTGTTAATATTGTAATTCTTTCATATTGGAGATTAATCTCAACCCATGCCATACTCTAAAACGTGCAGCCCGCGGGTTCTTAACGTAGGGCCATGGATTTGCTCTACGTGTCCTGAACTAACTGAAGGTGCATTCAAACCTTTGTGTGTATGTATATTTTCCTGGGGACAGGGTCTGGCTTTCACCGAAGTTCCCAAAGGGATCTACCCCCAAAGATGCTGAGAAACATTATGCTAGGATTTCCAAGAGAAAATAGAATTCAGGCTTAAGGAAGGGCTGATTTGAAGTATAATCACAATCGTGAGGGTCGGTGGCTCACACCTGTAATCCTAGCACTCTGGGAGGCAGAGGCAGGAGGATCGCTTGAACCCAGGAGTTTGAAGTTACACTGAGCTAGGATCACGCCACTGCACTCTACCCATGGTAATGGAGCTAGATCCTGTCTCAAAAAAAAAAAAAAAAAAATTCCCTATTGGAAGACAGATTAAAAAACATTTTGGTTTCAAATCACACAGAGGCCATGGACACCACTTCCACCACAAACACACACATTATGCTTACTGAGTATATGTTCCATAATTTTTGTGTCCAGCTATTGCAGACACAGCGACAATAACAGCCGGGATCCCATAGCCTACAGGGTACATGAAGCTCTTCTTGAATCGTCCTGAGCTGGTGTAGTTGGCCACCTTGAGGTTCCTGACGGTGAGGAAGAGGTGCAGCCCTTCGAGGAACATCCAGGTGAAGGCGGCCAGGTAGAGGTAGTGCAGCAGCCCTGCAATGACGGAGCAGAGCCCCTGGAGGGGGAGAGAAGAGTGAGGGGCGTGCAGCAGGTGCGATCTGTACCTGAGTGTAGCCTCAGCTCTTAGCATTTCCTGGATGCTGCCTGGAATTCCACTTTGCGCACCTGGGCCATTTTGCTTGGGGGCAACCCATTTTCTGGGGACTTCTGCTGGCCACTGAAGTCTGCTTATCTCATGCAGGGAGAAAGCCAGAAAGTCAAGGAATAGCTGTCCTGGGAACAGCTCCCTAAATGCATAACAGACAACACTTAGTAAATACTCCATTGCCCAAGCCCTTCAGGTGGACGAGTTCTAAGACACGTGCTCTATGCTGCCCCCTGGAGCTCCTCAGTGGGATTACGTCCTAGTTGCCCTCAGTGGAAACTTTCTTTAAAACACTTTAATTTGCTTACAGGATACTTTCTCTCTTCTTCCTCCAGTATTACATGCTAATGCAGAATATGTGATGACTGTCATTTATTGAGGAAATATGTACTTATGACAGAAAATATGAGAGAAAATAGAAAAAAAAACAAAACAAAAGAATTTATAAGTGTATGTGTTTGCTAGGGCTTTCCCAACCAAGTACTGCAGACTGGGTGACATAAACAATAGAAATTTATTTTCTCACGATTCAAGAGGGCAAAAGTCCGAGATCAAGGTGTGAGGCGGTTTGGTTTCTTCTGAGGTCTCTTTTCTTAGCTTGGGGATGGCTGTTTCCTCCCTTGTGTCTTCAAATGGCCTTTCTTCCGTGAGTATCTGTATCCTAATCTCTTCTTATAAAGACCCCAGTCATATTAGATCAGTGCCCGTATATATGACCTCATGGTTACTCAACTACCTATTTAAAAACACTATCTCCAAATACAGTCACATTCGGATGTACTGGGGGTTAAGACTTCAACATATGAACTTTGGGAGACACACTTCAGCCCATGACAGTAGACAAAAAGGAAGAGGAAAGGGGTTAATGTAGAACAGGATGCCACAGCAGTATCAGTTGATTGAAGCCAGTTC